TTTTATTTATATTCTAGATTAAATACAAATATTTAAATCACTTTAATTTAATCTATAAACTATAGATCCAATATAGATCTTGGAGCTAGAGTTGTGCCATACAAGTTATAAGTGTAGTTACATGACTTTTTTTTATATTTTAGATTAAATAAAAATAGTTAAATCACTTTAATTAATCTAAAAACTAGATAACCAGCATAGATCTCGAAGTTAGAGATGTGCCAAATGGATCATAAGGTTTCACAAATTTTGAAGTAATTCGAGCTAGAGATAAGACCCATCCTTCCTTCGATTAGTCATCCAAAATTAAAATCCATTTGGAATGAGGGAATTTCTTCCGCTTCTTGCTAGCGTTGATTGTTTCCTGTAAAATATCCGCGCTTCAAATGGACAAATAAATTCCAAAATTTATGTACAAATGAATTATAGTTTTGGAAGAATATCGATAGGTAGATAAGCAATGCTAACATTATTGTTCAGTTTTAAATGAGACTACGACTTGTGTATGGATTCGGCGAGACAGAAATGCGCGCATAATTGCAAAGGGTGACCTGGGAGAGGTCCGAGAAGCGACTGTCTACATGTTACAATATACCATCAATTCCAAGGAGGTAAGGCATCTACCTCTCGATGAGATAAGTGAAATTTTCGTGGGGCTTCAACTTACACCAAACAGTGTCCAACCAAACACAGCTAGTAGTTTAGATGGACCACTATGTTGCATCTTACACTTGAAGCTACACTAGGATCCAGTGGTCCAGCATTGCATCTCGTGTGTGCAATCTGAACCGTCCAAGTTTATCGACCTAATCATCTCATTTGATCGTAAGCCAGATCTACAATGTGAATTTATCAGTGAGTACTAATCATCTCATTTGATCGTAAGCAGGGTAAAATCTACAATGTGAATAAAACATGCTCTCACAGAGCTTTGGGGTGGGAAGGAGCCAAAAATAGTCAACTTCTACCCTAAAAACAGTGAGTGGAAGCCATTTTGCCAAATGGTTTTACAAAAAGGGTGCTCTTGGTCTCTTTCGTGGAGCCTCAGGCTTTGGTGAAGTGAAGCCTCGCTAAACAGGGTTAACAAATGAAGGGTGCTCTTGGTCTTTCCCCCCCTCAGGTTGACAGTTTCTGCCGACCGTTAGGCAGTAATCACATACAAGTATCACATATATATGCAGATAAAGAGTTGACTGGAAAACTGTTTGTGTTCTTGAGAGTTTACTACTCCATGTGAGGCTGTGACTACGGGGAATGATTCTGAACCTATGAGATCCACATGCACAGTAATGGCTCTGTTAGGCTGACTGGAAAAACGGCTGATGCTGATGCTGATTTGTTGTAAGAGAACAACATTGTTATTTCGCTGAAACGGTGACGGTGATAAGTTCAAGTGAACAGGGCCTAAGCAGCCATGCCCTGATTCCCATGTGATGCTGAGGTCAACCTCAATAGATTAGGAAAAGCCACTGAGATCGAAAAGTTTAAAGGTGGCTTAAATAATGAAGTACTGGATCCAGATTCCTGAGCATTTGTCCTTCCATTCCTTCCTCTTTTCAGGCCTCTCACAGTGAAGTGCACATAAGCTGCCAAGTCTTACTTTTGAATGTTCCTCAATTTACGCAGTTTCTGCACTGCACACATGATGATCTATTGCTCTCCAACATTCGTACAATAAGCTGAAGCATCTTCAGTTTTATTTTCTCTCTCGTAAATTTCTCACCTGATGTATGCAAGTACTGAACACTGAAGTAGGAGCACATGTTTATTTTTTTTTTTTTTTTAAAGGAGAGCACATGTTTATTTCATGCATGCTATTCTTATGTTTCCTTTCTTTCTTTTGGAGTTAAGTGTCTTTTTTTTTTAATATTGCTGTTTTTTACTTGCAACTAGCCACGACAGATTTAAAGTCAGCACTGCAAGTATATTTGTGGTGAATGAGTCCACGAAATCCCCATTCTTTTGACGTACTAATTGATCAGTTCTGCACTGAAGCTTTTGTTATGATTTGTGTTATCTTCATAGTAGTTGCACTGGGGGACAAAGAATGAAAGGACAAACGTATGTGCTGATATGCACACTTCCATACTTTGTTGCCTGGACAGTACCTCCAGAAAATAGAACTAATGCACTCCAATGATGAATTAATATGGGGCGTGTCTGGACAAATCTTGTTGATCACTATCTTCCTACATATCATTCTTTTTATATTTTAGCATTGTTATGTACATCTCGATGCTCCTTTTCAATTATATGCATCTTTCAGTTCGCTTATAATCGTTCTGTTTCAATTTATAAGTTGTTTTTGGCTTTTCTAAATATAGTTTTTATTACATATATAGACGCAGCATATATCTAGATGCATAGCAAAGGCTATATACCTAGAAAAACAAAACGACTTACAATTTGAAACGGAAGGAGTACTTGCTAGCATTGGTCTACAAAAAATAAGTGATTTTTCAAGTAGTAAGTACTACCATGTCAATGCATGTATATAACTTTCAAATTCATGTCGTAACTCATATAAAATTTTCACATCTCAACTTTGGCTATCTCAAAATTTTGCAATGTTAGCAAATTAGATTTCAGTAATTTTGTGCACATGTTGCTAATTTATATTTGTATTTGTCCGTGAGAATTACTCCCTCCAGTAAATAATACTACTTGACTTTTTACAATTTTCGAGGAGGGTCTTTTGACCAGGATTTTTTCTACTATAGTATATTTCATGAAATGTAAAAAAAATTGATATTGTTAAAATAGTTCAAAGGCAAATCTGCACATTCTACACATATGAGTTTTATGTTTTCAAACTTAGTATATTATAAAATTTATTGGCAGTTAAAGTTTTAAAACTTTGACTAGGTATTTTCCAGAACGTCGAGTGTTTTATGACCGAATGTATCTTTTCCTTTCTAACAGAAATGACTGCCAGTATATAAATATAAATACAATCTTACTTTCCCTGCCTTTTCTTCCATGCTGGGGCAAGGTTGCCACCACCTAAATTGGTTGCTGCAAAAGGAAGAAGAAACAAATGGCGTGTATGTTTCCTATATCGAAGTATGGCTACATGCAGTGCTGCAGATGAAGTGTAGGGCAAGACAATGCCGACCTCGAAAGGATATCCTGCACCAAATCCCCATCATTGGGAGGTTGATCTGGCTACAAATTTGTGCTCAACAACTCGCCTTTGTATGCCCAATTTTTCTCCCTGTTCCATCCATGATAAGCTCAAGGAAAGCCGTCATTATTGGTGTTAGGGATGGGACCCCTCCGATCCGAAGCAATCAGCTGCAATTCAGATGCTACAATCCCAGCCCCAATCATTTGATTTGGTTGCTCAACAAATGATCTTTTCATTATCTTTTCAAGGGCCCTGAGTCTCGTCCTTAATTCAAACCTAATTTGCTCAAAGATAATTTTTCCTCTCGGTTGGGCAAAACTTTCTTGCAGCTTTCAAATCCATTATCTTCATACTGTAGCTGTCAATTTGGTTACTGGTACATCATATCACTAGCAGAAGCAGACCTAAGGTCACTGTCAGCTACTTGCCACGCTGCTACTAATACACTGGTAGATAGGTTTGTTGCGTATACACATGTATATGCATGCAATTTACACTTGGGGAAGAGAAAATAGAAAATACAGATTAATGAAGGAGAAAAGGAAAGAAATGTGACTACCTAACTGCTTCAGATAAACCCTCTTTGCCAGCTGTAGGTGGTTCATGGAATTATCCGCATGATAACGAGAAAGCTCTGAACCCAAAAAACAGATATGTCTGCGAATGTATCTATCTGCTCCCTTTTGCAATGATTAGTACATAATTCAGACAGTTCAGAGCTTGGGATCAATTCGTTGGATATTGCAGCTACATTTCTTCTGCAGCGGTCAATCATTAGACGATCATTCGTTCGTGGATAGGAGGAGGTGGGCAATTAGTTTTCTTTTTCAGGAGGTTTAAAGAATGAAGCTGCAGCAAGCTAACACATGCAGAGGCAGTTCAGTTCAGACCAACCAGTGGAGGCTTTTCTTTTCTTTTATCATACACAAGCATGGAATGGAATGGGAAGTTAGTTACAGGCCACACCTGTCAACTGAGTTTCTTGCAGTGTAATACATGCAGGAAGTGAAGCATCTCAACACCTTACTTCCAGAATACTTCCAAACTTTCAGTTGTAAGCACTTTGCCTGAAACGATTGAAGTTGCATTTGCTTTAACAAAAGAAAGTTCATGATGTACTCTAAATTTTCTTTTTTTTGTATCATTTGTTAGATCTCATACTCAGCTACGGACGCTCAGAAATCAGCGCTCGAATTCCAGGGACAATCTACAGTAGCATAACAAATTGGCTGTATCAATATTCAGAGAATGTGAAGGATATATAATTATAGACATGGAAAGGAGATCCTGGCAAGTAGGACAATCATGTGTCTCTGCTCAGAGACAAACCGCACAAACACTACAGTATCTAGCAGAATCCATCAAAATCATGGGCTTAAGCCCTAGATGCTTAACACTATGCTAGTGTAATAGTATTTTTTCAAGATAAGAAAAAATAACATACTATTCAATGCATAATTCAGAGGTTATACAATTCATCAACATAAAGATGGATTATCCTGGGTTTTACTTTACTTCACTGGCAGTAAGTACCTTCCAAGCTAACAAGAACCTGATTCCGGATATAATTAAGGTAGCCTACAAAAGACCAAATCCTAAGGTTAGGTTAGGGCATTAGTCCGCTAGGTCATGATGGTTTATTCCTCCTGTAAACACAAAGCATACGCTAGATATTAGAGAATCTAAGCAACAAAATGGGCCAGAAAAAGACTACACATGACAAGCGTTCTATTTGATTGAAACCCTTTGTTAAATTTTTTTTTGACTGAAACCCTAAGGTTAGGCCACTAGGTCGTGATGGTGTTTAATTTGACTAAAAGACTAAAACCGAAACTCGTTTAACATGAAAATTGCATGTCTGAAGCTGCTGAGCTCAAGCGTTTTTGCCCTGTAAAAGGAATAAAAGATTTTTTTAAAAGAAAAGCGCAAAGCCAAGAGAAGGACTCCGGAGCTGCAAAGGCGTACACGTGTGGCCCTTGCTTCAGGTGCTCCGTCCCCATCTCGCAACGAGAAATCGTCGCTTTGGAAGCTGCTTTGTGCTTTCTCTTTCTCCTCCTGCGAACCAAGTGCTCTGGTTGGTGGCTCTGTTTTTTTTTTTAAAGAGTTTTACCTCAGCTTTTAAGAAAGCAAATGTCAGATAATGGTGGTTCTGGTTTAAGGATGGTGAACCAGACGATTTAAGGATGGTGAACCGGACGCCATCGCGGGAGCTCCTGCGCAGCGATCGGACAGCTCGAGGCGACGCTGATGAGTGATGGGAAAACTCTGAAGAGAACCCATACCCATGGCCATGGGTCCTGGTTGGTTGCAAATTTTAAAATCATTTTAGTTTGATGCAGTATTTCTAAATCTAACAGCAAGAGAATCAGGGGAGATAGAGAAAGACATATAGCTATGAAGCAGTTGATCGATCCCATTTTTAAAGCTTTTTCTAGGGTTCAGATTGTACTTGGAATTCTCGAGCAAAAGCTACACGTATGGTATCAGCTAACCAATTGCAAGTTGCATGCTTGGACAGAGACTTGACACCAGATGTTCTTGGATGGCCTTCTCGCGACCTATAGGTTAGTTAGGGACTTGAGGCTTGGATTGCACTGGTCAATAAACTCGAAGACATGTTAGCTTCTGGAATTCATTTGTTTAAGAATATCTGGCTGTTGTACACTGTGGGGGGAATACTATGAACCTCAGTCATCAACCACTCCTTGGACCCCATGCATGGCCTTGACTCTTGGTGCACCACTCTTTCCTTTCGACTAGGAAAACAAACAGAAGTCTTGGACATCGCAGAAAATCTCAACGAGAGTTGATAGACCATCTGTATCTTGATATGCTATCTACTTTAGAAAATTGAATACGGTACATCAGCATATTCCATTACTTCGACGAATCATCATTATACCATGCCACTTCACACGTGTTGAGTGGTCTTGCACATTAAATAAAAAGAAAGGGAAAAAAACCCAAGAATTTGAAGAGAAAGTTCACATAGTGCACCTAGGCATATGGCAAGGCAACATCCTTCCATTGGAGAACTCAAGGAGCTTAATTGCCATTACATAATTTACATTGATGTATCATAATTATGCCTAACTTGAATTGCAACGTCAAGGCGTTACTATTGCAAATGTTTATGATTACTTTAGCAGGCATCTTCTTCAACATACATCCAATACAGAATTCCATTGCAAGGCACCTATGCGCACTCCCTTAATCATCATATGGTTTAGTTCACAGGAGTATTCTGGGCATCTCAATCTCAACTTGTTTAGATGCAATTTTTTTGCAAAATGAGTACTGTAGCGTTTTCGTTGTTATTTGACAAATAGTGTCCAATCATAGTCTAATTAGACTTAAAAGATTCGTCTCGTGGATTTCGTCTAAACTGTGTAATTAGTTTTATTTTTTATTTATATTTAATGCTTCATGCATGCGTCCAAAGATTCGATGTGACGGGGAATGTGAAAAATTTTGCAAATTTTTTTGCAAACTAAACTGGACCAAAGCCACCTATCAAAAACTAGCTACAGTGTCTTCTAAAAGCATGTATCTGCTGAACTCAGTTAGTCAGTTAGATGGTTAATACTTCAGAACTCAAAAGCAAAATTGGGGCACAATCTCGTGCTCTACATATCACATACTCACGACAAACATCTGGCATCAAAACCTCCCTTGTCCTTCTCTTTGATCTCATCCGGTTTGAGCACATGCAGGAGAATTGTCAGAACAATCTTTATGATTTCCTCTTCATCGTACGATGTAGCAAACCTGACTGCAAAATGTAATTGTTTTAATGTGTCACCTCATGAGTTAACTTGATACTCCTTGTTGTGGTAGATACCAAGATAATCTAAACCTAAGCTACAATAAGGGCTGTTTGTGTTATTTCAAATGGATAGAAAGTATTCAATTATATGTAAATAATCTGGACTATTCTAATTGCTTACCCCAAGGAAGGATTGGAAACTCCCATGTTTGCTTAGGAACTGATATAGCATATGCAGCAACCTGAAAATGATTGAAACTACTTGTGTCAGGCATTGCTTTGGTGCAAACCATTTTCCAAAATATGTGCAGTTAGAATGCAGCATACATACAAGAGTGGAAGCAGCAAGTGAGCAGGAAGAATTGAAAAGTAATGAGGTATCTTCTGTTTCATACAGAATGTCCAAAATTTCCATGCACACTTCCAGATCCAAAAGTTCACCTAATTTTGATATTTCCCTGGCAGTGAAGAAGAAAATAAGGAGTGAATTAATTGAAAAATATAAAGCTATGTTTATTTATATCAAGAAGTCAATAACTAGCAACTAGTAGCAATTCACACAGCTGTCCAACTATGGTAAAATACTAGCAATAGTAATAGCAATACTAATAATGATTCATTTGCTTAGTACTTACTGATAATAATTCCAGTGGTCATTAGTTTGTACTTTGTAGGATTGGTGAAACTGTACAAACATGGGAATCAAACAAGTCGTTCAATAGGGGGGTTTAGGAGATTTTCTTTTTATCAAACACGCAGGAGAGCTGTACATCTTTCTATTAAGAAGGATATCTAGGGGAATTTTCTGATTATCCAATATGAAATTTCTTTTCTTATTTTTTCATATCGCCAGATTCACTTGTGAAAACAAGAGAAGATATATTGTAGATAGGAGACATGTTATGAGATTATTTTCGCTAATGTGCCCCCATTTTAGCATTTCTCAGAAAGATATTTGGTGCTAAAAGCTGCTATAAAGAGCTACACAGTCTGCTTCCTAAGAGTGAGAAAACAGAATGTGACACAGTTAACATTTTAGTTGTGATTAGTTACTACTTGCTACTCCCTCCGCCCCAAAATAATTGCACATCTCGCACTTCGAGGAGTCAACAAATCTCTAGTTTGACTGTATTTATAGGAAATAGTATTAGCATTTGGACCTCTAAATAGGTTTACTATGAAAATATATGGTGTGATTAATCTAATGATATTTATTTGATATCATAAGTATTAGTACTTATATATATTTAGTTAAACATAAATTAGTTGACTCCTCGATGCGCGAGATGTGCACTTATTTTAAGACGGACGGAGTACACATGTTTGTGATAAAATAAAAACGAGGACTAGATGAGAGAGATTTTATTACTATAATAATGGTAATTCACAACAACAAAAAAAGAATATTTTGTATAAGCTCCCATCATTCACACTTTCAGGTTTCATAGTTTGCCTTGAACAGGGTTAACTACTGTTTACGGATCAGAAAAAGGTTGTAAGCAATCCAAATAACCTGAAATGGATGAGAAGCTCCTCCAGGTATATGAAAGCAATGCTTGAAGATCCAATGTTGTGATCCACTACCTAAAATCCCACAAAAAAACAAAAAGAATATAACATAGTTGACCCTATCAACTTAACCTATTGTCCAGTAATAATCTTAGCCAGGAGTTACCTCCAAGAACACCAATTCCTGCAGCATTACAGATTAGAGAAAACACCTTCAGTGATTCAGTCACGACAAGTAAGCATTCAGAAAAGGAATAAACAGTTTATCATGAACTCACAGCAGTGGCGAAATCGCGGCACATGAAATGCTGGTCGGCAATGATGCGATCACCCAGGGCTTTGAGGCTCTTCACTGACATCGGCCTCCGATCGTGGATCTGAAGGAAGAATTGCACAGAGAAGGCAAGGTAGTACTACCCGCCCGCGACATGAAAGCACACAGCGTTAGCTCAAAGGAAAGGCTTACAGTGTCTCTAACCTTGCTGGCAATCCACACCGCGACGAGCGCGAATAGCTCGAGGTTGCTGTCCCTCAGGGGCTCGAGGAGCCAGGACCTGACGACTCGGCCGCTTCGCGCGCCGCAGAACCCCATCTTCCTGCAGCAACCGGGGGCAAGGGATGAGAACCTTCGTTCCCCCAGACAAGCAGAAGGAGTGAATGATGGATCACCTCGGGAGCGCCGGGAGGAAGCGGCCGGCGAAGAAGGTAAGCGCGGCGTACTTGACGATGGGCCGGAGGTCGAGCCGCTGCGAGGAAATCGTGGGATGTTGCAGCTCAGGTCTATCAGGGTTTTGAAGTTGGGCTTGGCCGCTTGGGAACAAAAGGCACAGAATAGTGCTCACCTTGGAGGCGTGGAGAAGGAACTGGAGGAGGTGGCGGCGCTTGAATGAACTCGGCCACCTCGCCGCCACCGCCGCCGCATCGTCGTCGTCCTCGATTTCCATTGTGACGCGCGAGACAGGAAGGCGAGCAGCAGCAGGGGGCCAGGGGCCCGGCCAGCCAGCAAGTCGAGAGCGCAAGAGAAGCGGAGACGAAGGCCGAGCAAGCCGTCCGCGTCCAGAAGCGGCCCAAGTGGAAGAGGGAGGCCCACTCGTCCATCAGGCTGGAGCAGTTCTCTCCCCTGCACTATGGCCCAATGAATGCTTTCCGAATGGGAAAAGATCCATTTTATCTCCCTAAACTATCTTCAAAGTTAAGTTTTCCTCTCTGAACTGAACTCGAAAACTGAGTAAACCGCCTCCCTCAACTTTTAAAATCATTCATTTTATCTCCTGACCCGGTTATAGGTGGATTTCAAAGGCGGTTTTGTCTTTTGATTTTTTATTTATTTTGTTTGAATTTTTGAAAAATCATAGTAAATCATAGAAAAATCATAAAATAGAAAATCTATTTTTTTAGATTCCACATGAGTAGATCTACACACTGAATATATAATATGGTATGTATTAGTACAAAGTTTTTGCTGTAGCTTTAGATCTATGTTTTTTTGTAATTAATTCAAAGCTGCAGTTTCTATGGTCCAATTATTATGAAATTTTTATGGTGGTTTAATTATTATATTATTGAACTGTAGTAAAACTTTTATGCTTATTGGATCATATATAACTGAGTTATGGATTTATTTATTTTTATGCTTGTTAAATAGTTTTAAAATAGTTAAAAGTGTGTAAAAATAGAAATAAGTATGAAATTTTTACAACAGTTAAAGCATACAATTATTAGACTATCATAAAAATTTCATCACAACTGGACCATAGAAACTACAGCTATGAATTAATTACAGAAAAATATAGATCTAAAGCTATAGTAAAAACTTTTTACTAAGGAATACCATATTATATGTTTATTGTGCATGTCTACTCATGTGGAGTCCAACAAAAGTGGATTTTTTATTTTATGATTTTCTATGATTTACTATGATTTTTCAAATATTCAACCAAAATAAATAAAAAAGAAAAAGACAAAACCGTCTTTGAAAACCACCTATAACCGGACGAGAGAGGTAAAATAAACGGTTTTAAAAGTTGAGGGGGGTGGTTTACCCGGTTTTCGAGTTCAGCGAGGAAAACTTAACTTCGAGGATAGTTGAGGGAGGTAAAATGGACTTTTTCCTTCCGAATGGGACGAGGTGAGAGTGCGAGACTATTTTGATTTCTTGATCGATAATTGAAAGTGCAATCAAGCCTTAATTGTGGGTTTTGGTGATAATGACAACTCAATTAGAGGACTAATGAGATTTATCAAGATTACAAGCAGAGAATTTAGAATCGAGGATGTCATACAAAATGGAGGAGCCCCCAATTACAAATGTTGACGGCTTCAAACTCAAATGAGGTTTATATTCTTTTATATTTCAAATTTGAGTGTAAGAAAAGCCGTACTATAAAGGGGGACACAATGCTTAAGCCAACTTGTGTTACCAAGTGCTCAATCTTACACTCAAGCATCCTCAAAAGTTCAGCCATGACAGCTTGCTCAACACTCTTTTATCTCTGCTGTCAGGCTTGTTGCGACAGTGTCGCACCTAAGGCGCGGCTATGCCATAGAGTGGCACTACCGTGGGTAAGACGTGGCACTACCATGACTTATCTGACCGTTGGGACCTAGGGAGGTATTTATACCTCTTTCCTTCCCTCACAACGGTCTCCTTCCTTGCCCAGCCTTTTAGACCGACGCCTTTTGGCTTAGCTCTTGTTCTTTCTCTCCTCCATTGGTGCCCAAAAGCTCTCAAGCTTTCTCTTGTGTTTTCTCCATCAATCCTTGAGAGAAAAATATGTTAATCTCGATTAGAGAGCAGATCCACTGATTTTCCAACTCAAAAGAGCACTTGGTTCATGTTTTGGCTGGTGGTTGTGTTTGTTACTCTTGGAGCTTGCTCCTAGCCGGCTAGAGCGTCGTCCGTGGAGTTTGCCAACTTGTATGGTAGCCCCGAGAGGTTTGTAACTATCTCTTGAAGCTAGTAAACTCACCCCTCATCTTAAGAGATAACTCTCTTGACTTGAGAACGAGGAAGGGTTGCAAAACCCTAAGCCTTAGTGGCTAACCTCAACAACGTGGACTTAGGTAAGCCTTGGTGGCGAGCTGAACCACAAAATAAATTCTAGTGTCATCTTGTGCTTGATTTACTTCACTTGCATTTCAAATTGTAGTTGAGGTAATTTCTAGGGTTTGTAGGCGATCTACTTGTGTATGGTGTTTCTACCACTTCTAGCTATCGATCTGTGAACTACATACCTGTAGGAACCTCAGTGATTTCTTTGATCTAAGTTTCCATACACAGATTTTGAATTGTGCCTTAAAGTTATCTACAGGTGTGGTAGTGTCGCTATTCTGGCCTAGCAGTGCCGCGGGCTCAGAGCGGTAGTGCTGCGGAGTGGAATTTAACATTTGCTTAAGTTTGTTTTAACAGGCCTATTCACCCCCCTCTAGACTAATCAGAGATCCTACAAGTGGTATCAGAGCAGGTTACCTCATGAGGGCTTTACCGCATGAGGTATGGAGCCTGGAGGTGGTACTAGTGGTGTGAAGCCCATTAACGTCGATCCAAAGGATGTGGAGTTGTATGACACCGACAACAGCGAGCTAAGTGCTTCTACAACAAGCAATACCACACTCCCGTAGATTGATGCTACCGATGTCGAGAAAGCTCTAAATGATGAAGAAAGAAGAAAAAGGAAGGCAGCTAGAAAGGCAAAATGAGATGCAAGAGAAAAGAAGAAGAAGGAGCACAAAGGTTAGAGGACAAGAAGCAAAGAAAAGAAGAAATAAAGCTCAAGAGAGAAGCAAAAAGAAAAAGAAGAGAACCTAGAAATAAGAAGGAAGAAGAAGAGAAGACAACCAATGCATCATCAAGTGACATTTCAAGTAGTTCTGAAGATGGAGATGATGATGAGTCCTACCAAGTGTCTAAGGGAGGCAAGAAGGAGAAGAAAGGAAAGATCAAAGCAGACTCCAACAATAAATATGTCACCGTATCCTTTAACTATTCTTCTATGCCTATGACTAACCATGATCGGAGATCTTTCATCAATGTGCCCGCGGGCAAGTTACCTCATTTAGATGGGACTAACTTTGCCAAGTGGAAGCACTTGATGAGAGCCTATCTTATAGGTCTTCACCCCGGCATTTGGGAAGTTGTCTACAATGGATTTGAGCCATCGGTTGAATGAGAATTATTCATATCAATGGTCAAGCCACAGGTGTGTTGCTTAGTGCTTTAGATGGTGATGAGTGCAATAGGGTGATTGGTGTTGATGTTGCCAAGCAAATATGTGACACCTTGCACCTTGCACATGAAGGGGTTGACAAAGTGAGAAGGTAAGAATTGATTTGTTGATGGCCAAGCTCAACCAGTTCATGATCTTGGATGGAGAAGGGCCACAAGAGATGTTTGATAGATTGATGACCATGGTGGGCAAGATTAGAGGCTATGGTGATGATGAGCTAGATGATCACAAGGTAGTGAAGATTATGTTGGAAGCTTATTCACCTAGAAATGAGACCGTGGTGACTCTAATTAGAGACAAGAAGAAGTTTGAATACTTCACACCAAATGATATACTTAGGAGAATCTTGACCTTTGACATGCAAAGAAAAGAAGCAAATGAGAGGAAGAAGCTTGGTGAGTTGCTGGCAAAATTATATGGCATAAAGATAAATGATGTATCTCTCAAGGCCAACAAATCAAGCAAGCAAGGCTCTACTAGCAATTTCAACATCAACAAGCAAGCCTAAAGCAAGCAAGCAAGTCCAAGAGCAAGTAGAGACTACATCATCCTCAAGTGAAGATGAAAATGATGATGAACATTATGAGAATGTTGATGATGTTGCTCTGTTTATGAAGAGATTTCAAAAAGGTCTAAAGAAGCAAGGCTACAAGGTAGTGAAGAGAAAGTTTCCAAACAAGAAGAAGATATGCTACAATTGTGACAGTACCGATCACTTCATTGCCAAGTGTTCATATAAGATCAAAGACAACAAGTACAAGAAGGACAAGAAAGAGGACAAGGCCGATCATAAAAAGAGTAAGAAGTACATGGGAGAAGCTTACATTGGGCATGAATGGGACTCAACTAGAGAAAGCACAAGTGAAGAGGATGATAAAATTGCAACCGTTGCTATCCACAAGTCATCCCCTACACCAAGACTTTGAAGAAACATATGCACCGGTGGTAAGGTTTGAAGCAATCTGAATGCTTCTAGCTTATACTGCTCATCACAACTTCATGCTATATCAAATGGATGTGAAGAGTGCATTCCTCAATGGCACTATTCAAGAACTTGTCTATGTTGAGCAATCACCGGGCTTTAAAGATCCCAAGTTTCCTAATCATGTCTACAAACTCCAAAAGGTGCTCTATGGGCTTAAGCAAGCACCAAGAGCATGGTATGAATGCCTTAAGAAATTCTTACTTAAACAATGCTTTGAAATAGGCAAAGCTGATCCTACCCTTTTTACTCGCAAAGTTGGTAAAGATATCTTTGTATATCAAATATATGTCGATGACATAATATTTGGTAGTACTAATCACACTTTTTGTGAGGAGTTTAGTAGGATTATGACCAAGAGATTTGAGATATCCATGATGGGTGAATTGAAGTTCTTTCTTGGATTTCAAATCAAAAGTGAAGGATGGAACTTTTATTAGCCAAATGAAGTACACCTATGATATGCTCAAGAAGTTTGACATGGTGAATGCCAAGCCTATCAAAACTCCCATGCCAACCAATGGACATCTAGATCTCAATAATGAAGGGAAAGTCATGGATACCAAGATATATCGCTCTATGATCGGCTCTCTACTTTATTTGTGCGCATCTAGGCCCGATATTATGCTTAGTGTGTGCATGTGTGCTAGATTTCAAGCTAACCCGAAAGAGTGTCACTTGATGACCGTTAAGAGAATCTTGAGATATTTAGTACACACTCCTAACCTTGGCTTGT